GCAAAAGGAACTATCTGCGGCAGTCTATGATCTGCGCTGGTGATAAGGATAACAAAAAAGCAACTTACCGTGTAAGTGTTGTTTTGGGCTTCAAGCTTGGGATGAGATTGGGACAAGACGGTCAGGTTGGTTCTCAGGTGGGGGATGAAGGGGATTAAAATGAACTAGATTCTTCAGGATGATGTGCTGAGGCTCCTCTCAGGAGCTCTGAAGCTGATGTGCTGATTGAACCGGGGTGCAGTTGCCCAACTGTCAGCATCATGTGCCTTTTTACGTATCTGGGGCTATTTTACCCGGCCTAGCCACAGCTCCAGCAGGCTCCAGATCTCATGTAAATCCTCTGTCATATTCTCCTGACACAGTGGGATGGCTTGGATAGTCCCACATGTCTAAAGTAGGACTAGATTGTTCTTTTCAGGGTTGTGAAGGCAGTTTCTGAACCTCAGACAGGCTCCAGGCCTGAATTGCTTCACAGATCAGCTTAGAGGAGTAGTGAGGCAGCTAGTGAGGCAAAGCTGGGTCTGGAGGCAGATGGTCAAAAGAGGAGGTTCTTCACATGGAGGGAGGCAAGAGGACCACTTTCTTCCTTAGAGCTGGGGGAGCTGTGCTCTGACATGTCTGACCCCTCCCACTCCTTTTACCTCACAGGGTGATTCTGGTGGCCCATTAGTCTGCAATGGGAAGGCTCAGGGCATTGTTTCTTATGGACCCAAATACGGCATCTTCCCTAAAGTATTTACCAGAGTGTCCTATTTTGAGCCCTGGATACGTGAAGAGCTGAGGAAGTTTGCGCTCCAAGACCTACCTGACTCTCCTTCCTCTGACTAAAATGCTCAGGGCCCCATTTCCACAATGCATCAAACATCTGCTGATGCTCAGAGGCTTAGAGAGGCAGCTGAAATGGAGTCAGGGATGCTCTCATGGCATATGCACAGGCTTCTGCGTTAAGGAATGTCTCAATGGCAAGGTAAAAACGCAGGTCGCAAGTACACACAGTTTCACGCTTCCTCCCACTGCTGCCCAACACTGCTACCTCCTGCTCTGCTTTCTGGCCACCAATAAAAGCATGTTCAAACTTGCTTGTGTGTGCAGCCTTCTTGGGAACAGGATGAAACACCCAGGTGTGAGAATGGGGAGATGACACTCTCTGGAACAGCCTGAGCCTGCCATTGTAGGTAGGGCATGCGATGTAGATCTCAATCCCTGCTGGCTGCAAATGCTGTCCCTCCCCTCCCTCAGCTTCTTCCAGTCAAGCCAGCAAGTAGATACAACCACTTTTCCAAATGATTTACCCAGCCTTTCAGAAACAGAAGCATCACAGCATCCAAGGGGAGATCATGTGGGTTTCCAGTACCAGCTTGAAGCCGTCTCAGGATCCTTAGACAGACTCAACACCAGCCAGCCTATTTACACCCTTTCTCTCCTTTTCATCCTCTTGAACATCAGGTAAAGCATTTGCTTTGTAGCTGTAAAATGCCTGAGGGTTGAAATGTGGAGATTTTCTCATATTGGATCATCTGAGCAGGACAACTCTACAAGGGCAGAAACTGCTCCAGAGGCTCCACCTTAGCTGCAGGAAGATATCTCCACCTTTTGAAGTCCTCCTGTTGCACCCCAAGTACTTGGCTCCCTTCTACCATAATTTGGAATCAAGTAACATCCAAAATTGCAATGGTATGAATACAAGAGGCTACAGGATGTCCAACTATATCATAGTAATTCTCAAGCCTTCCTCTCAGTCATCCCAAGCACCAACCTGTATTTCTGGTCAAATGCCACTCAATTCCTGGGCCTGCCACAGGAAAAAATAACATGGCCAGAAGGGACCAAGGGCTGCCCACAATCTTGCACATCCCCCCCTCCAGGCTTTCCATCCAGTCCTGCACCACACTGGCTTTGCTCTTACACCCCATAACATCCCTTTCCACTGAAGTTCCACCCCATAATATCCGTTTCTAGGTCCAGCACTTTCTGCTCTCACATGCAGTCTTAGCTGTGTGCCATGTGAGCATGAAAGGAGTAGTCAGCAGCACCAATGAACATGTGGAAGATGAACATGGCCTCCACAGGCTGCTTTCTTGTATTCTTCTACAAGTGCTCTGTCTCCGTACAGGTTTTGAAGCTGTGAGTCACCTTAACCAAAAAGATCCGGCACAGTGGAAATGCAAATGTTGAGGAGGGAGAGATTAGCAAGAGAGTCGACCTGCCTGGATAAAGATACAAGAAATGAGAAAAGCAAAAACGGTTCTTTTACAGGATACACTGTGAGACAGGTGACAACATGTCAGCCCCCCCCTCCTCACCAGGAACATGGAAAGGAGCCTTAATGGCCACAGAGATCTCCTGCCACAGAGTCTGCAGTGGTCACTTTGACCTCCTTCCCCACCACGGCTGCCATGCCACTGGGGCCACAGGAACATCCACTGCAGGGACTTTAGCATTCGCTACGCCCATCCACTTCCTAGCACAGGGGCTGTGGGGACTTTGGGTGGGAGAGTGGGATTGTATTCCCCAGACAAAGATGACTCTTCTCATCCCACTTCTCAGCTTGCTGAGCTTGCTGCATTTTGTCAGAAGGCTACATAGCATCATCTTTGCGTGAGGTGAGGTGTGACAAGACCTGAGCAGAGAAGAACGGACCATGTTAGCCACTAACACAGAGCCAGCACTTGCCTCACACCCTTCCCATAGTTATGAAAAACCTCTCTTCAAATTTTTCTATTCACAAGCTGGTGCTGTGTTCTGCTCCATTGCCTTTCTCAGCCCTCCCCTTTGCCCCAGTTCACAAGTCCCACCCAACAATAGCGCGGAAGGTGTCCACAGACCTGTGAAGGCAGGGAAGTCTAGAGATCAGAGCTATGGATGGGGAAAGGCAAAACCTGGATGCCTGGGGTTTCTGAAGGAAAAACAGGGGGACCACAGGTTCAAAGCATGGGAGGACTGGTTTCAGTGTGAGGGTAGTGGGGTGGAGCAGCAGGAGTCCAAATAAACTGTATTGTAAAGACACCAGCCAGCCTATTCACACCCTTTCTCTCCTTTACATCCCCTTGAACCTCAGACGAAGCATTTGCTTTGTAGCTGTAATGTGCCTGAGGGCTGAAATGTGGAGGTTTTCTCATATTGGAGCATCTGAGCTGCATGTGGCTGGGCCAGGATGTGCCCTTGCAGGGTGGTGATGGGATAGAAAAATTCAAAGACGGCAAAGGAAAAAGCAGTATTGCAGAGAGACAACCCTGACCACTCGTGTGAGGGAGAGATGCATTTCTTGTTGGCTGGCTGGAAGAAAAAGGAAATGGTGGATCTGAGCTGCTGTTTTACACAAACTCTGCTTCTCATCTGCATCTTCTCTGTGAAAGAACCAGTTGCCCCAGGAAGGCAACAGTTCTGACAATGGGTCTCACATCCCTCCCCTTATCACTGCAAAGCTGTGGTTAAGCACACTTTCAGCAGTGTTGTACTTAGTAGCAGAAAGAGCTAAGACCCTGCTGCTATTCAAAAGTAGTGTTTCATCCAGCTTCTTAATCTTTTTGTATACTCCTCTTGGAATAAGCAAGTCAAGCAGGTCTAGGCAGATGCTGCCCTTTAGGTGGCTGCAAAGGTCGAAATCACACAAGAACACTAAGAGGCAATCATCACTGATAACGCTAACTGTCCATGCAGCAAAATGTTCACTTTCTCAACTGTTCTGAGTGTTCTGTGCTTATTTCTTAGCATTGGGTAGGACACATCACATCCCCCTTCAGCCACCTGACTAGGTAATGCGTTTAGAACGAGGATGCTCTCCAGGCTCCCTGTTACAATTTCCTTAGACTGAGATGACTACGTCCCACCCTAGGTGTCTGCAATACCAGTATCTCCATGGGAGCTGCTTGGCCAGGCTCTTTCCATAGTCTCTGGAGATCTTGTTGGTATAATCAGTGCAGCTGAGGTTCATTCATCACCACTAGATCAGATACCTACATTTTGTTTGTATTTGACACTATTTTCTTTCCAATAACTATTGACTGGGATTTGCTTTGGTTACCTTAACAGAGAGACACAGTGTACTGGAGATGCATTGGATTACCTACCTGGCCTTCAGCCACTGCTCTCGAAAGGGTCAGATGCTTCATGGTGTCTCTGCCACACCATCAGCTCCGTGGCTTCCTCTGCGACTCCCAAGAGGCACTAGTATTCAAGACTGCTGTCAGTCAGTCTGACTTTCTTTTCCCATCCTATTGTGTGACCTACATGGGAATGCAGGTATCTTCATTTTCTCCTTCCTTCCTTGGAAGCCTGGACTGATTTAAGTGGCCTTGATCTGGATTTCTTCTTTAAGTTCATCTTGGCATCCCTTGGCTTGAAGGGGCATGAGCCAAAAGGCAATGGATTATCCAGACCTTAGTCTAAGGCCTTGCGAGATCCAATACCTGGAGCCTTGCTCCACTCACAAGCACATGCCCAGAGGAAAACTCTCCTGTATTTATAGTACGCAAAATTAGAAAGTGCCTGTATGATAGTCTGCTTTGACCTACTACGGTACATTGATAGCACAGTGTCAGGTCAGGATTCCCAGCTCTGAGCTCAGGTGCAGGGACCTTTACAAGAACAGGAGGTCTTGAGAGGTGCCAGCCATGTTCCTAGAAGCACTGAGGTGTGCCATGTGCCTTTGATACCCTGGATGACCTCACAGTCTGCTACTCATGTTTCTGCATCCTTAGCTGCCTACATTTAGCTGCCTAAATGTAGCTGCCCTACATTTACCACTGTAAATCTTTACCTTCTGCCTCAGTGTGCACCTGCTGATTTGTGTGGAGCTCAAATACAAAGCCCAAGCAGCAGCACTGGAAACAAACAAGGCTCCAAATACTCTCCAATCTACAGGCCCACCATTAGAACAGACATCGTCATGGGACTGTCATGGAGGACTAGTGGCTTACGACAGTCTGGTGGAAAGACCTCTAGTAGCCTACAAACATAAAGTTCTGTGACCGTGTCGAATGCAGCCAAATTCCACCTCAGATCACGTGGTTCCCTCACGCTTCATACTGCCTGGAGGGTCATTTCCACCTCTCCTTGGAAGGTGCCAACTAATTCCTTTTTAGACAACATTTGCACATGGTTTTAGGGAGAGTTCACACCAAGGATCACTCTTTCAGTCTCACACAGATGAGGTCAGACCAGGTCTCCAGTGCTATCCCAGCAGGTCTTGAACACACCATCCCATCCTCATGACAAGATGCAGCACATTCAACAGATTATTACAAAAAAACCAGCATCCTTGGGCAACTATACAGCCCACATGCCACTTCAAGCACTTTCCATTGAAACAATATCAGAAAAAGCACCAAGCTGCCTTCACTGCATAAGCGTAATGAGCAAGGGGACCTGCAGCTCTTTAATGTCTGGTGTCTCGGGAATCGGTACTGTCAATTCCCTTATAAACACCCTTCTTGTGGCACAGCTGGTCTTCTGTGGGCCAAGTTTAGTCCAAAATTTCTTGTGTGAGATATCCCCAGACCTTGCCACATCCTGCAGCTCAACCGATCTCAGTGAAATCACAGTTTACATGGCAGACATCATCTTAGGCACGGGAAGTTTCCTGCTGGTCATCCTCTCCTATTGCCTCATCATCATCACCATCCTGAAAATCCAGGGCTCTGCAGGGAAGTGGAAAGCCTTCTCCACCTGCTCCTCATACCTTGCTATTGTTGGCTTGTTCTACTCCACCATCATCTACACCTATACCCAGCCAACTAGCACTCCATTAGAGAAGAAGAACAAAACAGTGAGCATTATCTACACTCTGGTGACTCCCACTCTGAACCCTCTGATCTACAGCCTGCACAACAAAGTGATCAAAGTGGCGTTCTGGGAAATTGTACCATTTCCCAAGACAAATTAATACACATAGCCACATACCCATACTTTTCAGCCCTGTTCTGCATGATCCACACTCATGGGTAGTTGCAGTGTTGTGTCAACCTTGGCTGCTAACAAGGGTGACATTGCTTTCACTGACATTCATATGCTGCAACAACGGTAGTTCTTAAGGAGAAATTATCTGAACTGAGGATACCCAGAGCAGGGTGAGGTGAAGTGTACCTTAGAAGTGTTTGTTACTCTGAACCCTCTAGAAAGGGAAGCAAGAGCACGACCTCAATGGAGATGGCTATATGGTAGCTTTGATCAAGTGTTCATACTTATTTCTGACAGCTGAGACTAGAGTTTATTAGCGTCCATAGATTTCTTTTCTGTCATCACCTGATGGAACGCAAATACCGGTGATCTCTTGAGTCAATCTCCCTTTCTGGTCAGCAGAGAGGAAAAGGCACTTTAAGGATGAAATTCATTTGAATTTTCCAGACCTCCCTCTGCTTCTTGTACATTAAAGGTCTGTTTCTCCTTGTTGTAAAGGAGAATACACTCCTACAGTTACCTCAGCCTGCCTATTGATAAACTATCCAATATTTATGGTTTTAAAGTTTTTAAATATAAAGTCAGAACTTTACTTAAGAACAGAGAAATCATTAATCAAATCATCAATTAACATTATGAGAAATGAATCACGGTGATTGTCCCTGCGCATTGCAGGGGGGGGTTGGACTAGATGACCTTTAAAGGTCCCTTCCAATCCAAACTATTCTATGATTCTATGATTCTGTGTGCTCAGTCTCAGGCTATTGGTCATGGTTTTCCCTCATTCTTCCCTAGATTTACTTTTTTTTAAGACACTGAAAAAGAAAACAATAAAAAAAAACAGCCTAAGTAGACAACAATAATGTGCTAGAAATACATTATTTTTAAGATATTCCTCTATGACTGTCTGTGTGCCCTTGGATTTTTTAGATGGTGTGTAAAATCCTGTGCACAATTGTCTTCTGAAGGATATACTGTATGCCTCAGAATACACTCCTGTCCTCATGTGGTGGCAGATATTTGTCCACCTGAGCTGGACTTCTGAATCCTCCTCACAGTTAGTAGAACTCTATCTTGTTGAACAAAGTGAAAAAAATGTTAAGAAAATTACTGGATGCCTTGGGAAAGAAATTTTAGGGGATGTGGGTTCACTTGCAGTAAATTGATGATTACTTCCACTGCTTTATTGGTTACTTTACCTTTTATTGCCATAATAGAAGGAAGGAAGGAGGAAAGCAAAGAAGATTGAGGGACTTAATAATCTAAAAACAAACATTAAAAAAACCCTAAATCTTCTCCTTATTGCTTTTGCATTTTGCTTAAGGTTTCAGACAGTTTATCTTCTAGGGGACATACAACACTTTCTGGAGTTTTTTGGTGGTTTTCTTACAGAATAAGAATAATCTGGTGAAAGAAGAAATAACTTTACCTGCTGTAAGGAGGGCACTGACCACACCAAACTTCAGAAAACACCAGTGAAGAGAGATTCCTCTGATCTCATCATCTACGCTCTTTCGGTTCCAATGGGAAACAATCCCAGAGACAGCCAGATGAAGTAAATTTAGTTCAGAATCAGCCACTTCACGGGAGGTGACACCCAGCTGTCATTTCTTCAGAGCCTGTAGGATTTGTCCCTACACCTTGTTCTTACAAATATTTCTCACTGAATACATACGCAGTCCTAAAGCAAATAAGTACACTTTATTTAAAATGGCACGCTGATTTTGACCAGCAGAGTCTTTATTCCTTGCAGGCAAAAGGAATGTTGTATGCCTGCGTTCTCACCTTAAATATTGAACAGTTTCACATCCCTGCCAGAGCTCCTGACTTGGGACTCTCTGTCGAAGCAGTGCAGAGAAAGACTTCTACAGAGCAATGCCATGCCAATTATGTTGGGGACCTGTGACAGAGCCTACAGTTCATACAAGGACCCAAATCCCAAAACGTCACCCCAAAGGAGTTTTCCTTTCTGTCCAGTTCCACCTGCTGCCCTGCAGCTGAGATCACACCTGCCACATCCTTTACGCTAGATTGTCCAAGCTTTTCTTCCACAGATACACTGGTCCCTCCACTCACTGGGACAACCTCTCCTGGTTCTGCCTCATTGCTTCTTCCCACTTTATCTTTTCTTCCTTTGCATAAAGTTCTTTTCTCCAGGGAACTCAGGATGCTGAAGGAAAGGGCTGGCTGGACCTAAAGGCAACAGCTCCCTTAACACCATCAGTGGGATGATGTGGAAGGTGACGTCATGGGAGGAAGGAACCTGTCACTGTCAGAGGGCAGACCTACTTGCTAGTCTTTCATGGCACTGCAGAAAGAAGTCAGACGAAGAACATAGGTTTGCTTCCAGTTCCTTCAGGCCTGAAAGCCTGGGATCTACAACAGTCTGATCTTGCCTCTGCATAGACCCAGCTCTGTGATTTCTGTCGGCGTCAGTATTTTCAGTATCTGCTATTCTCTAGGGAGATCAGCCTCTCTCCGGTTCAATGGGAAGAGGTGATTTAACTCACCAACTCTAATTCTGCCTGGGATCTAGGGCTTGGATTCTTCTCAGCTACTTTTTGGTGTGCAACTTAGTTACCTAAAAATAAGCATTTGGTAACGTTTTGGATGACCTGAAGTATTCTCTACAGCCGGCAGCGGATGCTCCTGTAGGACACAGGTCTCCTGTGCCTTTTCCTGCCAGCTCCCACGTGGCCGTGTCTCATCAAATGGCACAAGATGCTCATGCTTAAGCAATTTGGCCCAAACCCAAAGCGAGGAAATAAGTGACTCACCCAGCTTTACAATTCTGAGAACTACAAAGCAAGGCCAACGTAGGACCCTTATGCTCTCATTTGAGCCAGGGCAGCAAGGCAGGCAGGGTCCATCCACATGGCAGTCACATAACTCCAACGTTTTTGCACAATGTTAGAGAAAGGAAACCATTCTCTCCAGATCTCCATTTCTCTACATTGCACATCAGGGAGGAAAGGTTCCAGGTTGACTGCTGGCATTTAGAAATAATATTTTTAGCTTTTCTAGTTATACACAGAGCTGAGGTCAACCTCACTGCGAAACTGAAGGTGTTAATTAGGATCAGGATAGGCAGAGTCAGCTCTTATTGTGAGGCAGTCACAGTCTGGCTCTGGAGGAATGGGATCTACCTACTGCTCATGTTCTCCTCATAGGCGCAGCTGAACTCTGCAGCGCTCTTGGAGAAAGCCCGTGGGATCCTGATCACACAGGTTCTCCCAGCCCTCATTCCTATCTCCATGGGGCAGATCTAAAGCCCTGAAGTGCCTCAGGTCAGCATGTCTCCGTAGCTGCTGAATGGTACCCTGAAGGATTCAAAGATGAACAGCAGATGGGCTCCTTTTCCCACCACATTTGAGAGGTGACACCCACAGCAGTGGTGAGAGAGGAGAATTTAAACAAGAAGCAAAGGGGATGTCAAAGAGGACTGGAAAGCAATGAACTTGGTGGGCACCTCACAACAAACAAAGGCCACCACCTTTCTCACCTTCCTTTCTGAAAGAAGCTAAATTTCATCCCATTGAGATGAAAGTTTTGTGTTTCATTCGTGGTCAAAGGAACCATTGTGAAACCTCTTCTCTTCTCTTCTTACTTAATGTGAATACGGGTTTTACAGAAGCCTGCATAGTTCGCAACGCTTAGCACCTTCTCGGGAGTGGTGGAGGGGGTGGGAGGGCAATGAGTATGAGAAAATGAGAAAAAGCACAAACTAACCCTTCTGAAAGTCTTTATGGGAAATCCTCCCTTTCCCCTTGGGAATTATTCCTATTCCAGCCTTCGTCTGTTGTCCACACTAGGTATTACAAAAAATGAATAGGCTTTATTTCTTTGTTCCACCCATATTGTTAGAGTTTACAATATCATCTTTACAGTTTACAATATCATGTTTACAATATCATCTTTGGAACACAATCTAAGAACTTCTTAGTTTGTCCCATCTGGAAGGATTGGTTTGTGTTTATGTTTGTACTTCTCAAGGATCCAAAATTAGAGACTTTGTGACTGGTGAGCCTGGCACAGTAATAGATGAGTTATTTAGTTACATAACAGGCTGGCTATGTGCAGGAATTTCTCCTTTTTTTTTATTCCATTAGTTGAGTTCAGCCTTGGACCAGAGCTGCCCGTCAGTCCTCATTCAGTCCTCATTCACCTGCGTTGATGTATTTCGCTAAAGAACAACTAGAATTCTGTGGATTGCTTGAAACCTTACACTTGATTTCAACTTTCAGGAAAGAAAGGGCATTTGGGAAGAAAAGTACTCTCCACGAGCCAAGTCAGATTGCCCATTCTAAAGAGACACAAGGTGCTCGTATGTGATTTCTTCTCCTTTTCATTTGCTGGTGGAAACACTGTCTTTTTGCAGCACAGACAAAGGAGCAAACACTAAAGAAAGCTGAAAATGTCACTTCCTCAGTTCCCTCATCTAAATTTGACTTCAGTAGCTAGAAATCATGCAGATAACATCTGTGACTGAAGACAGACCTTACCATAAACTTTTGACCTCAACCATACTACAAAATACTCCTCTCCCTAATCATCCTCACCAATCTTGAGCTTAACCACAAATGAACAAGATGTTTAATTGGAAGAATGTAAAGCCCGCCTCTTCTGCAATACTGTTGCTCTCTGCTCTTGGGCAACGTGTAGCAGGTGAGGGTACAGGACACTTAAACTGGAATGGTGGCTTCAAACCATGGATAGAACAGACCTCCGAAAGTCCAGCTCCCACTCATGGCTGGGCCACCTTCAAATATCTGTCAGTTTGTTCATGGCTTTGATCAGACAGATTGATTTTTAACTATCATCTCCAAGATGTTTTTTCCTCATATCTCTTCAGAATGAAAAATGGACAAATTATTATCTCCAGTGTAATTCCTGTGATCCAGATCCTCTCCTGCTGAG